TCTTGACTTAAAATGTACAACCTGATTTGAATGAAGCATATGTAAGGATTGTGGAAGAAGCGCACGGAATATATTTGTAACCAATCGATACGCTTTCCACAAGATGTAACGAAAGATGATTTTTTTTTATTTAACTAAAACAATAAAAAAAATTCTCAAAAAAAGAGACTGCAATAAAATAGTGGCTGCCATCCAATTTATGGCTGACGCCACACTTAATTCCACTCATTTTGCCTCAAGTGGCGGCTAGCCTCTGCCCCTTATAAAGGAGGTCCCTATTTGGAGAGGCACTAGAGCCCCTTCTTATTGAGGACAAGGACAAGTGGAAAATCTTGCCGTCCACTTCCAGAAAGGGGTCTTCACATGCTACTCCATATTTTAGGAGGCAGCCCTTTCGGGTGCAGGACTATGGTACCTCCTTTCAAGGCCATGATTATGGCTCCTATAGCTTCAGGGCCCAGGGGGTGTACCGCCAGAGGCAGCGCTACCAGAGGGGCAGCCAGTCCAAGAAACCCTTTTGGGGGAGCGGAGGTCATAACTCCTGAAAACCATAGATCCCAAGGGGTCCTTTCTTATTGGGGTGGGCGGTTGCAGTACTTTGCAAACCAATGGGATGCTACTGCCAGGGACAACTGGGTACGAAGGACCATTAGGTTTGGTCTAGCTCTAGAATTCCTCTCCACTCCCCCGAGTTTCTTTATTTGTTGCCCGATGTCTCACAATCCGGACAGGCAAGCCCTCATGAATTCGACAATACAACATCTTCTGGACATCAGGGTGGTTCAATCGGTTCTAAACAACCAATTAACCCAGAGCTTTTATTCTATTCCTTTCCTTATCCCTAAGGCCTCAGGGGGCTGGAGAGCAATTCTAGACCTAAAACGCCTCAACCGGCATATAAAATACTGCTGGTTTAAGATGCACTCATTACAATCTATTCTGACAGGGGTGAGGGAAGGTGACCTTGGTGTCAATTGATCTGACGGAGGCCTCCTTCACATCCTGATTTTGCCCGATCTCCAGAAATTCCTAAGATTTTGTTACGGGGGGGGAGGGGTGACATTACCAGTATATGGCCTTGCCATTCGGCCTCTCTTCTGTCCCCGGGCACTTACTAAAGTGCTTGCAGCGTTGGTCAAACATCTCAGATTCTGGTCGGTGTGTATCCAATGCTACCTTGATGACCTTCTATTATTATCCAGGTCCCTATCTGGAACAAGGCGTGACCTTGACCTCACAATAACTTCCTTGGAGGCTCATGGTTTTCCTATCAATACGGCCAAGAGCCATCTAGACCCCACTACCCAGATTTCTAGGGGCATGGATCGATTTAATGTCTGGTCAGGTCTTCCTGTTGGAGGATAGCATTGTTCAACTGGTTGGGAAAGTATTGGGCCAACGTAGGGTCTCCCTGGCCACCTTATCATATTTGCTGGGGAAACTAGTGTTGGCTATTAACATCGTGCCTTGGGCACGCCTCCACACTAGGGATCTTCAGTGGTTTCTCTTACCCTTCCAGAAGGCACACAGGAGTACATCACTGCTGAAGGTCACTGTTCCAGTGGATGTCCTCCAATCTGTACATTGGTGGAAATTGGCAGCCATCATCAAGGGTTGCCACTTCAGGGTGGTTCACAAGGTGACGGTCACTACGGACGCCAGCCTCTACGGTTGGGGGGCTCATTTACAGACACAGATGCCCCAGGAACAATGGGACCAGGTGGACAGGAGTCACAACATAAACTGGTTAGAGCTCAGAACCATCCACCTGGCCCCCCAGGACTTCCTCACAAGCATTGTGGGTCAGCACGTACTGGTCTTGATGGACAACGTGGCCGCCAAGGCCCACGTCAACCGTCAGGGCGGCATGAAATCCAAGGACCTCATGAAAGAAGCCAGGGAACTGGGCCTCTGGGCAGAGGCATCTGGCTTCATTGACCGAGGAACGTATCTCGGGGGTGGCGAATGTTCAAACCAACTGGCTCAGCCGGGCCAAGGTGGTCAATGCGGAATGGTGCCTCCACCCTTGACTTTCGTCAAATCTCAGCCCATTTTGGACCGCCTTTTGCGGACCTTTTCGCCACCCCGGACAATACACAGCTCCCATGCTTTTATGCGAGGTTCAGGACACAAGGGGCAGAGGGGACAGACACTCTCAGGTGTCGGTGACCCCTTGGACTACTTTATGCATTCCCCCCGCTGCCCTTGATTCCTCAGATGTTGCACAAGGTGATCACCGAACAGGCAGAAGTCATCTGGGTGTCCCTGCATTGGCCACAACGGCCGTGGTTCGCGGACCTACAGACCCTGTCAGTAGCCAGCCTCTGGAGGATTCCTCAGACTGCAGGTGCCCTCAGCTAGGGGTCACTGAAGGATCCAGACCCTCAGTGGCTTCAGTTGAGCGCTTGGCACTTGAGCAGCACTCTCTGAGGGAGAACAGTCTTTCCTCCAGGGTCATTAGCACTATCCAGGCTTCCAGGAGGCCGTCCACGGTTCACGTATATGATGCCACTTGGCGTATATTCTGCAAGTGGTGCAATAACAAGACCATTTATGCCTCCACTGCATCTATTCCTCAGGTGTTGGAGTTTCTCCAAGATGGGCTGGAGAAAGGTGTATCACCCAACACATTGAGAAGACAGGTAGCAGCTCTGGTTATGATTCTGACTTGGGGGGGGGGGGACACAACCCTTATGACACCACCCGGCCGTGAAAAGGTTTCTGAAAGGGGCTGTCAATCTGAGACCATCGGTGGTTCACCGCTACCCCACCTGGGACTTGCTCACGGTTTTGTCTGCCCTAACGGACACCCCCTTTGAGCCCATTCGGTCAGTGGAACTATAGTTCCTCTCTTGGAAGGTGGCCTTCCTGGTAGCCATCACCTCCGCCAGGAGGATCTCGGAGCTGCAGGCCCTGTCGGTAAGGGCGGATCTTTGCATCTTCCACACCGACAGGATAGTGCTTCGATCCTTTACGCCAAAGGTCTCATCGTGGTTCCATAGAGCGCAAGAGATAGTTTTGCCCAACTTCAGCCCCTCTCCTGCTCACCCCTTGGAGAGACGTTGGCACAAGCTGGATGTGCGAAGGGCACTACAGATTTATATCTCTCGCACTTCCAAATTTAGGAGATCCGAATCGTTGTTTGTCTCCTTTCAGGCTGAGACCCTAGGTAGGAAGGTGTCTGCCTCTACCATTGGCAGTTATATAGCCAGGGCATATGCTTCCCAACATCGGGCTGTACCTGAGGGAATAACAGCGCACTCCACCAGAAGTGCGGCTACGACAGCAGCCTGGGCCACCCAGACATCTCTCAAAGAAATCTGCCAGGCAGCAACCTGGGCTTCACCTTCTCCATTCATTTCAAATAATTGATAAATTTGCATCTGTGGACGCAGCGTTAGACCAGAAATGGCCTGGTCTTACAGGCCGTTCATTCTACTGCACCTGTTCTGGATAAGTCTGGTTCCCTTCCGTAGGGACATGTGGGCTTGGGTATGTCCCATGTATGGATGCTATCTCCACCTCTATTGAGAAAGGGCATTGGTATTTACCTGATACGCCTCTTCTAATAGGGTGGAGATAGCATCCATCTCCTCCCTCTCTGACTGATCTTGTTGCTATACCATTTAGTGCTATAAGAATGAGCTTACTTGCTATGCGTTACAAAGATCTCTATTCAAAATTTTTTTACTGTAAATATGTGGTTCATTTCTCTGGTTTGAGAGGTTTCTTTACTAAAATGTTTGTGCGATGACACGTTGAGTCTGTCTTAAGTTCTTCGCTGAAAAGCTGGGTAAGGCTAGCAACAAGAGGCGTGTTTTAACTAACTTTTATCAGACTCAGTCCAATCAGAAGGTGGACAATGTCAACTCATGTATGGATGCTATCTCCACCCTATTAGAAGAGGCGTATCAGGTAAGTACCAACACCCTTTTCATTTACCACTTTGTATTTGAATCGTGATGAGGTGGGCCTGCTGGATCAGTGTGATATGGTGATAAAAGTATGATAACCTAATCTAACTACCATAGCACGGCACAGCATGCATAATATATAATATTGCAAAAATAGTTGTTAATATATTGTGCATCACATAATAGCACAGAAATGAACTGTAAGGCCAGGCCTCTCCCCCTTAATCAAGGAAGTAAAGACTCTTGAAACTTTCATTTCAAAAGGATCCTTTTATTGAAAAAGAGGTGATAACTGGGTGAAAGCAAAGCAGGGTCTGGGATCCTTAAGGCAATACAATAAGAATAAAAGAAGTTAGAATCCCCTCCCAACCATCTGATGAGGATTTGGCCAATCCATAGGTGTGAAGATGTTTTTTGTATGGGGCGCTCTGGGAAAGTGATAAGACTTTCTCAGGCTTGCTTCCTGAGCGATGCAGTCCACATTGTCCTCCCTCCCCACCCATTCCCCAAAAGCTGAGAAAGTGCCAGGCCTCTAGGTGCCAGACTAGAAGTTATAAAGCAATTAAATACATAGTACAGGAAAGAAGAATAGAAAAATCTATAGGAAGTATAGGGCCCTCCATTCTTCAAGGGAAGACTTGCAGGGAAGACTTCAAGGGAAGACTTGCAGGGAAGAATGGCAGATTCACGGATTCACGGATCTGACATGAACTGGAAATGGGGCTGTCTTGGAATATGTCTTAATTGAATGATACCCTAAAAAATTCTGACCATATAAAACTAATATACCATTACATATTTCAGATAAAGGAAGCATAAAAGTACAGAGTGTAGAGAGTACTTTTAAAAAAAATCAATAGAAAGTATTTGTTTTAATCTTGAATATAGCTTGAGTTTTATCAGTATACATTGCAACAAATTGCAATATTTATTTAATTTGTTTTTTCATAATTTGAGGGACTAATCCAGGCCATTGCCAGGAGTCAACACTGATCTGAAGGTACAAAAAGAAGTGTGGCTATGGTAAAGCAGGCATTAATTCATTGAAGTAGATGGTGGAAGAATAGGACAGATTCTGCTATATACAGTGATAGCGAACCTTTTCCGGCTCAGGTGCCAAAAGCACACACGTGCACATGCCCTCACTTGCCAACCCCCATACTTTAATGCACCTCCGCACCATGTCTCCTGTGCATGCGCTTGTGACACCCCCCCCACTGCCCCGTGCAAGCGCACAGCTTTCTTGGAGCCCAAGGAGGGTGAAAATGCCCCCCCCCATTCCCGAACTTCTGGTTTGCGTGTTGGGCGGTTTTTCGGCCTTCGGAGGCTTCAGGGAAGCCTCCAGAGGGCGAAAAACAGCCAAAAATCAGCTGGCCAGCGTGTGCATGTGCACTGGAGCTGACAGGGCAACTCCTCATGTGCCCTCAGAAATGGCTCTGTGTGCCCCTGTGGCATGCATGCCATAGGTTCGCCATCATGGTAGTAGGCTACATAAATATAAGCCAAATTGGGGGGGAAAAACCAATAGGAATATCTCACAAATGTTTATGCTCCACTGAGCTTTCTTGCAACAAGTACCTTATATCTTTAGGTACCTCCTTTTTTCCCTAAAGGGAAAAATGGAAGATTCATGAATGAAGAAAATGGTTAAGATTCAAGGTTGAACCTTTATTCTAAAACAAAAGATAAAGTAGTCAAATAGACTGTACAATCGGTTGTTGTTATTAATTTATGTTGCTCCAGTTTCTGGTTATTGGAATTCCTTGGATTTATCCTGAACACTGATTTTGTGATCTGGAAAGAAAGCTGTTTTTCTAAAGCACATACTGTAACATTCCCTTAATAGGTGGTTATTTATCAGTCAAGAGTTGTCACTGCCCCTTCATTTAATAACCAAGAAAGAAACCACTCAACTCCATGTTTTAGAATTAAGTATACTTTTACTGATTATAAACAATGAGAAGCAAAGCAAAGCTGAATCTGAGTAAAAGAGCGTGAAAGCAATAGATATCAATACATGATTCATCCCCCTCCCCTTGGTACCCCAGTCTGTAGTCCAATCATAGATCACCCAACTGTCAGGTGGGAGACATCTTCAAAAATCATCATCAGGTTGGAATGCTGGACAGTTGGCCTCAGCGGGAAATGCCCCTCCTTTCACATGCGCAAACAGATGGTGAGAACAACCCCCAATTAACAGTCCTCCTGCACAGAATGTTTCCCTCCCCAAATACCATGCCCCCCTCCCTGTTTCAATGGCAGCCGAAAAGCAAGCAGCAAAGCAGAGGCTGACATCCGGCCCTCTTCCAGAAAAGATGTTCACGCCTGCAGAAACGAAAGAACACAGACAAACAAACAAACAACATGACCTAGAAGAGAAAAGGGAAGGGGAAATTAAAAAAAAACAAGTGAGGTCAGGGCTTTTCTGGGTAGGCAGAGTAGAACTTGTGGAGAAGTCAAGGGGCCCGCACATGGGACTTATCGACCCATTCAGCATGAGAGGGAGGGAAATGCTTCCAAGCCACAAGATACTGAATACGGTTTCTTTGTTTTTGAGAGTCCAAAATTTCTCTAATCTCAAAATGTTGCTCACCCTCAACCAGGAGAGGGGCAGGTGGAGCCAGCAAAGGAGCCCTCAATGGAGAAGTGCGTTCCGGCTTTAGGAGATTAACATGAAATACAGGATAGACACAGTTGAGATATTTAGGCAGTTGGAGGCGGACGGAGACAGGGTTGATAACCTTGATAATCGGGAACGGGCCAACATATTTGGGACCCAATTTCTTACACTTTTGAGAGGTCTGAAGAAACTTGGTGGATCACCAACTTTATATTCCTTTGGCTTCGCTCTCTTTTTATCCGCTTGTTTCTTGTGTGCTCGATGTGCAGCATCCAGTGCACGGTAAGCCAAAGGCCACAGATCCCGAAGACGGTCACTCCGTTTGGAAAGGGACAGTACTTGTGGTTTCTTGTGAGGAATCTCGGGGATAGGCACAAAATCATGTCCGTACACCACCCTGAAGGACATAAGTCCCGTGCTGCAATGCACTGAGTTGTTATATGCCACCTCAGCATGAGGCAACAATTCCACCCAATTGTCTTGCTGGTAATTGACGAAACAGCGGAGATATTGTTCCAGCACTGAATTGGTCCTCTCATAGGCACCGTTAGTCTAAGGGTGGTGGGCGGAGCTTAAGCCCTGGGCGGAGCCAATTTCAGAAACTCCTTCCAAAACAAGGAGGTGAATTGGACCCCCCTATCTGAGATGATGCAGTCCGGTACCCCATGCAGACGACAGATATGCGTGATGAACAATTTAGCCAGGGATTTCGCGGATGGGATCTTGGAACAAGGAATAAAGTGAACTTGCTTGGAGAACAAGTCAGTAACAACCCAAATCACTGTGTTCCCTTGACTTTCTGGCAATTCAACAATGAAATCCATAGAGATCTTCCACGATGCCTCAGGATGGGCTACCTCCTGGAGCAATCCCTAAGGTTTTCCTGGTGGGCATTTCGCTGCAGCACAAGTGGGGCAACTAGCCACATAAGATTCAATGTCCTTTTTCAATGAGGGCCACCAAAACACTCTCTTGACGAGATGTAGGGTTTTCACAAAACCAAAGTGTCCGGCCATGTGAGAGTCATGAGCATGTTGAAGAACGTAATAGTTGTGGGAACGTATAATTTAGCACCAATCCAAGCAAGGCCATCCTTCATGGTGCATTCATTCGTATGTTTGCAGAACCACTCATCANAAAGTCTGATGGAAATTTTATTAACTCCAGAGGAAAGCAGGATGGTGAAGGGAACCATGGATAAGGCTTTGCAGAAGGATCATGCAACAGATCCGAACTGGACATGCCCACTGGAGGAACCAGATTGGGAACCTCAGTCCATTCGGCTGCAAAACTATCAGACCTTGGTTCTG